CAAGCGCTTTAACCACTGCACCACAGGGCTCCTTATAAGTCACCTAGTGCTCAATAAATGGTAGCTATCATCATCACCATCATCATCAAATGAGTGACTCCATGGGCCAGGCTATTCTACTAGGTGCTCTATATTAACTCATCTGATCCTTACAGTAATTCTTTAAGTCTGGTATTATTACAACTAAGGAAACAAGATCAGAGAGGTAAAGTAACTTGCTCAAGGGTACACAGCTAATTAAAAGTGGATTAGAATTTGAAACCAGGGTTGTCTGACTTCAAACCCCTGGCTCTTTCCATTACTTCCAGCCAAATGAATGGATACGTTAGTCCTGTCCTAGTGTTATCTGGGGCCTCTGAGGATCCATGAGGTAAATTTGGGGCACAGAAACTTACTCAGAAGTTAGAGGGAAGTGTGAGGTAGGATGTATGGTCCAGTGCATCATGAACAATGTATGACTATCCCACCCACCCAATGACTATCTCAGAGGAAGAAGCCCCAGAAAGTAGACTTATTGCACAATCTCTGCCTCTGCTGCCCGTGGCCACCCACGACTTTTTTGCGTGTGAATGGAAACTACATTGACTGGCTGTCACAAGCTTATGACCTCATAGTGACAGTGACCAGCTGGAAAAAACAGATACCACCCAGGGTCCCCTTGACTCAAGAAGAGTTCTTTTAGTTCAGATTACAGATTTCTCTATGAGGAGAAACAAAGAGCTATTCTACACTAAACAGAAGAGCACAGAGTACTATAAAGTTGTGAAAAGGAAGTGAGAATGCTTGTAATACAATTATAAAACTTCATGATTTCACCTCTAGGAACCCTGAAATTAATTAATCGCAGGGATCTCTTCAGGTCCAACCATTCTCAGAGATGGATGTGCTGGGGACCAAGAGATAAATCAGACCTAGTTCCTGACCTTGAAGTCTGGTAGGGGAAACAGCTCTCTTGGGTAAGAAGCCATGATCACAGAATGTGCAAAAGACTGAAAAATGGAAGGTCCCTGGGTGGCTAGCACTGTTACCGGCAGCGGGCGACAGTGGCGCTAGTAACGGCTACACCTGGCCATACTTGGTACATGGTAAGTGCTCGAAAAATAACTATTGATTAAATAAATAAATGAATGAATGCACGTAAGGCTGGAGTTTTCTGGCTTCCTTGAATTGCCCTCCCAAAAGCATTGATCAGATTCTGGCTTCAAGGCCAGGGATGTTCCTGAAATTCAGGTTGTCATGGCTTAAGCACCCAGGTGATCATGAGTAGAGCAAGGCCCACCTGACCAAAGACTTGGCAGAAATAAGAGAATACAGGAATTCTCAGGGTTGGAAAGAACCAAAAAGGAAGCGCAATCCATCCCTTCACCTTATGCTGGAGTCCCCTCTTCCACATCCCAGCCCGGTCTGATCTGTTGGCACCTTGAGCCCTAGCAGCGGGTCTGTTATTGAGTAAGTCTCAGCAACATTTGTTGTGGGAAACAATAAATGAATTAACTCCTGGTGATTCACCCAGTACTATCACAAGTTATCCTGGGTCCCCCAGCCCCCACTGTGGGCCTGGGAAATGACACACTGCTTGTCCACAGTTAGGGTCAAGGTCACATCCCTTTAGATAGGCAAGTGGTCTCTGAAAGGGGCAGTCATTCTCAATGTCAATTGCCTAGGGAAGAGGTAGACCCTCATATAAGATATCATGATTCAGAAGGCTGCCCTGAGGTATTGGGGGAGGGGTAGAGGTGCATGGAAAAGTGGAGATAATACTTTTCTTTTTGTCAGGAACACAGCTCTGGGTCTACATATTTGGAGGACAGCAGTTATCTAGATGTGAATTCTAAGTGGTGAGTCCTAAGATGGCACCTACTACACAGAGGTAGGCTGAGAGTCAGATGAGGTGGGGTCTGGAATCAACGGAAAGCAGGCAGTCTGGTAAGTCGGATTAACCTTATTCAAGCACTCAGTCTATTTTCCTGCTATCATCCTCAACCCTTCATTAAAGTCCTATGTGACTGTTTGGTACTTACATTCCTGTGCTAAGAGATAGAGAGCAATACCCAGGTTTATCCTTGGGCCAGAATGATAATGCATCAGCAAGAAGAGCATGGAGTGGGGTGGTTACTAGTAAGATCCCATAAAAGGAGAGAGAATATAAGAAATCAGGAGCTGGGTTTGAGGTACTCCCCACCTCAACAAGAAATTCTTCGACCAGGTCTTTGATGAAGCTGGGATTGATCATTATTAGGAAAGCAGCAATTCCTTATCACTTACAGTCACTGGAGCATCTAAAAATTCTTCCCAAAAAAGCATGGAAAGGGGCCCCAGCTCAAATCCCCTCTTTGGGAGGCCAATATGATGATTTAGCCTTCTAGAGGAGAAGCTAGCTTGTGAATCATCTCTGAGCTCAGTTCTATCTGAAAAGAGGAGGGACTCTGAAGAACAGGTTATTAGTGACCCATGTAAGAGAATTAAGGATATACTTAGATTGCAGTTGATACTAACCTTGAGGTAATATCTGCAACAATCTGGGAAAATCAGAAAATTGGTCTTGTAAAAAGAGAATGACAAGAAAAACAAATCCCTAGAGGGCAAAGGTAAGATACTGGTAAGAGATGCTTTGAAAAGCTGGCTATACCATAGATGCAGTCTTAGTGCACAGCAGTTGCCAAGAGTGAAGTTAATAATTAGACACCCTAAGCCCTGGAAATCTCTTCTGGGGAATGAACTGGTCAAAGGAAGACCCAAAGTCAACACTAATAGATGAAAGACAGTGAATGCAGCTAAAACATAAAACAATTGTTCAAAAAAGAATCTAACAGGCTGCCTATAAAGTGATTCAATATACTGCATTTTAAATTTGATTCTGTATAGGCAAAATAAACATAGTTTCATGATTTTGAAAAGCAAAGTCCTTGGTCTAAAATTGTACTTGACTGATGCTACCCAAGGTGAGGGATGTTTAACTTGAATTTCCCTAACCACAAATGAGATCACATTAGCAATGATACACAAAAAACTGCATGGCACATAGCCCCCACCTGCAAAACTGCCTCAAAATTTCCACCAGTTCCTGAGCTGCCTCATATAAAGTCAGTGCCAGTCCTTTCCTGTTCTTTTTATCTGATTTCCACCGATATCTGCTGCCTAAAAGCTAGGACTGGTACCTTGACACTCCAAGAAAACTTATTTTCCTGATACTCTGCTACTATATCTACCCAAACTGTCAAACCTTGGTGTGCCAAGAACTTCTGAATGCCTTTCAGTCCTCCTTCAGCAGAGCCACACATAGTTCAGCAGAGAACTGGGGAAAAGTCCATTAAATTTGGAAATATCCCTTCTGAGAGTGGGGTTATTTGGGTGGGGGCTAAGAGGATGATACTGAAATTGGGAGCACTTCTACGTTATTTAATTACAAAGAGAATGTACTACTTTCAAAATAGCAAAACAACAAAGATATACTTCCATTTTGGAAAAAAATTAGGGATATTTAGTTGAACTAATAAGCTTGGGCTTGTTACATTAGTTGTTAACTTTAGCATATTTTAAGCTTGAGGAATCTCTCCATGGTCTCCACCAAGTCCTCTTGTAGCATTTCCTCTCAGTGAAATGTACTACAAAATCCTCGTAGTTCTTTCCTATAATGGCCCTGAAGTTAAAAATTCTGGAACACATTTGAGATCTGGATTTCCAAGTTTTCAGGAAGGAGTCTCCATGAACACCACCCACAACTTGGAAGGATTTTATATGGCTTATCTCATCCCTCAGTGCCTTTCTCTTGTGTCATCCAAGCAGTTGCTCGAGTCAGAAATTGAGATGTCAGCTTTGATACCTATCTTTCTTTCATATTTTTTCCTTCAGTCTCCAGAACCAGTCTATCACCAAATCCTGTCAAACTTATCTCCAAGATACTTCTCAAATATGTCTGCTTCTCTCCATTCCCACCATCTTTACCCTAATCCAAGCTACCTTCATCTTGCCTAGACCACTGCAATTGTCTCTTAAATGGTCTCAATGGTCCACTCTTATCTGCAGACCCATCTCCAATCTGCTTTCTACCAAGAAGTCAGAATCTTTCCAAAATGCAAATCTGATAATGTCATTCTCTACCTTAGAATATTTCCAAAGCTTCCCAGTGTTTTTAGTAAAAAAATGAAAATCCTTAATTTGCCCTATAAGGCTTTTTTATGACCTAGTTCCTATTTCTCTAGACATTTCTACCACATTCTCATCCCTACAACCAACCTAGTCTTAGTTCTCAAAAATGCCCACCCTTTCTCCCACTACAGAACTCATACACATGCTATTTTCTCTATCTGGTAGACTCATTTCCCTTTTCGTCTGGTTAACTCCTACACACTGTTCAAGTCTCAACTCAATAGTCATATCTTCAGGGAAGCCATCTTTGAGCCCCCAGACTAGGTCAAATGCCACTGTATCTGTTCATAGCATCATGAATCTTTCTTTCATAGTACTTAGGAAAGTTGTAATTTTATATTTATTTGTGTGTTTATTACTTTAATATCCACCTCTCCCACTAGAAAGTAAACCCCTTTCAGGCAAGAACCATGTGTATTTTTGTACACTTTTATAATTCCAGCACCTAGTATAGTGCCCAGGCACATATTGTTGCTAGCTGCCATTGAGTCGGCGGCCATTCATGACGACCTTATGTATAACAGAATGAAAACACTGCCCGGTCCTGCGCCATCCTCACAGTTATTGGTAGCTCAGGCACATAGGAGGCATTAAATAAATATTTGCTGAATGGGTGTTAACTATCTGCTCTTAAAGTGGCTCTTTCCTATAATGATCCTAAAGTTAAAAATTCCAAGGTACATCCGAGATCTGAATTTCCAAGTTTTCAGGAAGGAGTTTCCATGCATATCATCCACAACTTGAAGAATTTTATATGGCTTATCTCTTTAGTCCCTTTCTCTTCTGTCATTCAAGGATGCTATCCTGAACTTTTTTGGAGGTAGCAGTATTAGGAGCCCAGGTGAACTCACCCCTATGGTAGACGCCATGTAGTCTGCACACATTTCTGCAAAGTCTCGCTCAAGAACTCCATAGTAGAGGCCATAGAAGAGGAGTGAAATGCCAAAGTCCATGGCATCTTCTGGTTTGATTCTGTAAGGGAGCAGCATGGTCAGTAAGGCCTGCCCTGAGACACAAGTGCTTTGGATCACTACTCTGGAACACACAAGGCAGGGTTTAAAGCTGGAAGTTGCAGGGTTAGAGCAGGGGTTGGCAAACTATAGCCAAATCTGACCTGCTGCCCCTTTTTATATGACCTGTGGGCACTGCTTGAATAAGCTAACATTGTGAGCTGTGGAGACCAAGCAGAGGCATCTGCTTCTGCCCATTTCCCACTCAGTTCCCTGTGTCTGACTCCCTGCTGGCAGCTATGCCTCCAAGGTGCCCAGGAATTGTACTGGTTGCCACCTGCATGCTGGGGACTCCACTGTTGGCAACTGCTGGGTACCAAGCTGCAGAATTTCAGTCTGGAAGCTGGCAACTCATTGAGGTGCCTAGCCTTCAGCCAGCTGCCCAAGTTGAAATGGCTAAGCTCTCCAGGAGAGAAGGGCATGCCAGGACCTGGGTATCCCTGGAGCAGAGAGTGAAAATGATCACAGTGACCACACACCCCCTTGTCAGGCCCCTCCTTCTGATAATGTCTCAGCCAGCGTTAACTGAGCATAATGCATGCCCACCACTCAGGACGGTCTGCCCCAAGCAAACAGGATGGGGCAGGGCAGGCGTTTTCTCTCTTGTTATGTAAAGGAAAAACCAAACCAGCTGCCATCACATCAATTCTGACTCATAGCAGCCCATGTGTTTCAGAGAGAACTGTGCTCCGTAGGGTTTTCAATGGCTGTGACCTTCCAGAAGTAGGTCGCCAGGGTTTTCTTCCAAGGGGCCTCTGGGTGGATATGAACCGTCAACTTTCCATTAGTATCCAAGTGCTTAATCTTTTGTACCAGCCAGGGACTCCCTCTTGTTATATAAATACCTACATAACACCCTAGATCTTTGCCTTTTGGCCCACAAAGCCTAAAATATTGACTATTTAGTAGCCCCTTATTGAAAAATTTTCCAATCACAAGTTTAGAAAATAAGAAAGGTTAGTAAATATTTGCATAGCAGTACTATAAAATTCTAAGTTACATCTATACATATTCTACATTATGTTATTAAAGTTAAATTTTGGTTCAACTCTATCTACTAAGAAGGATATAGATCTTGCCTGTAATATTAAGAGGTTTCTTTTAATAATTCCAAGGACCAATAATTTGCAACCTTGAGTCTACAATTGCTACAGAAAACTATGTCTGTTAAAATAGCTGTGCAAAGAACTATATTTGTTCACTTAAAGTTGTAAATTATATTTATCATGTTGTTGTTAGGTGCCATTGAGTTGATTTTTGACTCACAGCAACCCCATGTGAAAGAGTAGAACTGCCTCATAGGGTTTCCTAGGATGTGATCTTTAAGGGAGCAGATAGCCAGGTCTTTCTCCCTCGAAGCCACTGGGTGGGTTCCAACCGTCAACCTTTTGGTTAGCCGCCAAGTGCTTAATTGTTTTGCCACCAGGGCTCCTATATTAATCACAGAAAGCTGAACTTCTCATTAACCTTGTAATATTTACCCCACTGACTAGACATTATTGCTCTTATACCAATTAACCTAATCAGTAGCATAAACACGATGAAGATTCCCAATTTTGTTTTCCTCCCTGTATAGTTTAGGCAAGTAAAAACAAACGGCAATGAAACCTTTCTGGAACCTGTTTTATATTTCAGCCCATACTACTTCTGGAAGAAGGAATTCCATGGGTGTTCTCTCACTTTGTAAAGTAGGACTTACTTTTACTTGTCCTAAAATAAACTTTCAAACAGACTCCTGCCTACAGTGTCCTATGTTTGGGGAAGAGGCCAGTGATCATCCTATCCATGAACTTAAATTTGAATCCTAAATCCATTTAGCTTCAGTACACTGTTCCAGGCTGAGGATTCCTCATCATCCACAGCCCACAGCCACCATGATCTCAGCCAGAAAACCACACTTGCACTCTCTTCTGTCTCACCTACCTACTATACCCTCCAGTCCCATCGCCCAGAAGCTTCTGCCTCAACTGGAGTTGTACACATCTGGGACCAGTATAAATCTTTAGGAAAGCTTCATGATAATATGAAGCAACAGCCAAAATCCTGCTCCTGGGAATGTATCCTTAGGAAGCAACACAGCAGTGTTATCTGTGACAGTACTAAATTGGAAACAATCTACATGCCCAACAATGAAGCAGGACTTCAATGTCCACGAGTTAATTTTCTAGAACTGTGTCCTTAAAAACTTGATAAAGGTGCGACGTCAGCTGTGTTACAAGGCAACAACGCTTACGTGTTAAACATAATCGGTAATAAGTATACTGCATCTGAACTGGGAGATCTATAAATGATCTATAAATACTTGGTGGGAAGTAGTTTTGGGCTTCCATGAATGTGGTGCATTCTTGAAACTGGATGTGTCTCTTGGGCGACACGGGATTTCTAAGCCAGGGTGGCTCCCCACATCCCTGACACCTCAGCTGTCATGCTGTTCAACAGCCCTGAGATGGCTGAGAAGACTCCTGCAGACACTGTCCTGCTGTTGTTTCCTGTCTTGTATCCTTCTAAGTGATCTGTTGCTAGGTGTGGCCAACTGTGGTTGCAAGAGTCAACTGTCTAATCCAGGGATTGGCAAATTCTTTTCTGTAAAGGGTCAGATAGTAAATATTTTAGGTTTTGTGGCCCATAGAGTTCCTGCCACAATTATTCAACTCTGCTATAGCCATAGATAATACATAAATGAATGACCATGGCTCTGTTCCACTAAAACTTTATTTAAAAAATAGATGGCAAGCTGGATATGGCCTGTGGGTATCATCTGCCAACCCCTGGTCTAGCTGAACCTACACCTCTCAGGCAGTGTGGAAGTTACAGTAAATGGTACCCACATGACCAAGGAAAATGGTTCTGTTAAGAGTGACAGAGTTATGGGTAACTGGCTATAACATCATTATGCTTATTTTTGTTATTACAGTCTTCTCTAATAAAAAATAATTTTTTACAAAGAAAGTACATCTCACTAGCCCCTCCTCCCTAAACACCAGTAAAAACAAAAGCAGAAGGTACTCACTTGAATAATAAGTTAAGACCAAAGAGAGTAAACATGACAGCCATGTAGCCAACGATGCCAGTGGCATAGCTGATTTTATAGATCAGCAGGAACCACTTATAAACCAACCTGGAAGAAGGAGAGAAAGTTAGTACAGCTGACACAGAAGCTCTGGCCTCTAAAGGCCCCTGGACCACCAGAATCCCTTTTCTCACATCAAATAGGGACACCAGGCTTTTTGCTCAGATCCTAATGGGCAACTTCAGTTACTATTCAAAACTGTTCATTCCTTTAACTGCAGAAATGTCTCCATATACCAGGGAGTTAGTGCTTTGTATTTTCCTAGTCTTAGACCAAAGGAAGAAAAGAGATCCCCAAAAGGAGGCTTCAGCCTCAAAGAAAGAGCACAGAAGACCTCAGACAGCTCTGACATCTCAGTATGGAGGTCAAATTTAGGTTAGTTAGACAAGGAAGTAATAAGTAATAACTACAGCTATGTTCAGAAGGGAATAGGTGAGGAAGATCAGTTGTTCTTGTCAGCAAAGAGAATTCAAAGGAAGATATATACATGAGGTAGAAATAGCTACAGGCTTTCGTACCTGGGTCTGGTTAGTCTGAATACAGCTTTGCTCCTATACACAGGCTAATAATAAAGGGAATGATCTCTAATGGATTTGCTTCTAAAATGACTTTTTTTTTTTTCTGGAGGGAAAGGATAAGGAGAAAGGCACTCCCTAAGTGTTTTTTGAGTTGAATCAGATGTTTGTGTGGCAGCGTGGGGTTGGGGAGCGGCGGGGCGGCGGGGGGCACGCTCTTCAATGCTACTGAAGGAGGAGCAGTATTCCCCAGAATCCAATGAGAGCAATGCGGAATCTGGTTGGTTAACCCCCAGCTAGGTTCAGAGAGGAGAGATGGTTCCCTGAATACACCAGAGCCTTTTAAATGCTATGGGAGTAGGTCTCCGATATCAGGATCCACTATCCCGTCTGTGATGACAGCTAATGAGCAACTTAGCCATTTGCTTAAATAACCAAAAACAAGCCTGCCTGGTCCCTGAGAGCCAACCAGGTTACTACCAAACCCGCTGAGCCCTAGCGAAGCTCAAGGTCCCTGCCTCTGCCTCCTTGCTGTGGCTAAGCATGGGGTGATGGCTTCAAAGGCTAGGGAAAGGCTCCAAACAATTTGTAGTGCCTGCCTTCAAGGACCACATACGACTTCATTATCCAGAAGTGCACTGCTCATATGGGAGTAAGACAAAGCAGAAAGGATGTGGAATGTTAGGTCAGATAACCCTTAATCTGGATTAAGTGTTGTTACAGATTGAATTGTGCCCCCCAAAAATATGTGTTGTAAATCCTAACCTCTATGCCTGTGGTTATATCCCATTTGGGAATGGGTTGTCTTTGTTATGTTAATGAGGCAGGATCAGTGTTGGGTGTATCCTGACTCAGTCTCTTCTGAGATATAAAAGAGATTAACAAGAGCGGAGCAGAGCACGAGATGGAGATCTCCAAGGAACCAGGAAGCAGAAGCCGAAGAGACAAGGACCTTCCACCAGAGCCGACAGAGAGAGAAAGGCTTCCCCTAGAGCCAGCTCTCTGAACTCGGACTTCTAGCCTCCTAAATTATGAGAAAATAAATTTCTGTTTGTTAAAGGCATCCACTTGTGGTATTTCTGTTATAGCAGCACTAGATAACTAAGACAAGTAAGGTCAGTCTTACAAGCTGAGTAATTCCAGGTAAGTCGTATCAGTTTTTTGAAATACGTTTATTCGTAAAACAGAGGAAAACCATTCTACCTTTCTAACTGGATGGTACAGAGTCTGTTGCCTGGTACATAATACATGCTCAATAAATGCTGAATGGATTAATGAGAATGTTTATGGAAATGCTTTACAACTGTAAAGCACTACCAAGTGTTAGTTATTATTATCAAAATGTTACAGACGCATTTTCAGCCACGTAAACTAGGCTGGGTAGAACTTGACACTGTTACTTGGTGACTCTTAACATGTTTTATTGCATTTTTTCTTCATAATCATCCTATATGAGGTAGTGACTATTACCCTATTTGGGAGGATAAAGAATTAGAGGCTCAGAAAGGTGAAGTCATAGAGGTCATACAGCAAACAAGCAGCAGAGCTGGGGGTTCCAATCCACACTCATCTGGCTCCAGAGCCTGAACTTTCTATAATGAATGGTCTCTAAAGTAAACTACTGCAGCCAGAGAGGGGCTTCTGGATCACCACCTCCACCCTAAAGATAAACTTTACTCTGTACACAGAAGCTTAGAAGGCCAGAGAAAGACTTGCAGTAAAGCAGAGCATAAAAGGCATGAAAAGAGCAGTTTGCAATATGGGAAACTTTGGATCAGGTGGCCACAACTTTGAGATAGGCTAGTTCCTCTGTTAGGCTTTCCTGGACCTCTGCACACCTCTCTTATATCGCTTACCAACTGCATTGCAACAGACGCTTTCTCATTCATTTCCTCCATTAAACCAAGCAATTCTTGAGTGCAAGGACCATTTCTTATCCACCTCTGAACTCAGCACAGGGTCTGGCACACAGCAGGTGCTTGTTGAATAAATGAATCAGAAATTATCTTTCTTTTTCTGTCAAATACAGATATTAAATGACCTCACAAGCTGGTTGGGAGCATCAAACGAGAATGTGTTTGGATAAAATAACAAAGAATCATACAGGCAGGGCTGCTTTGTGACCCAAGAAAGCAGCATTGTTTATTGGAAAACTGCAAACTTGCTGGGATTCATTCATTCAACAAAAATTCATAAAGTAGGCCTACTATGTGCCAGTCCTTGGACCAGGGCCTGGATATACAGTAACAAACAAAACAGATGTGGTACCAGACTTCATAGTTACAGCTTAGTTGGGGAGACAGACACGCAAAATAATACTTTGTTATAAATTGTGTAAGTTATAAACTGTGAAGGAGAACTACTATGCGTATTATGAGAGAATATAACAGAAAATCTAATTTAGAGATCAGAGAAGGGTTTGCAGAAGAAAATAATACTTAAAATGAGACTACAGTGATCACCAGGATTTGCTTATTTATTTTGTTTGCTTTGGATATAAACAGATTTTTATATAAACCATAAAGTAAGCTGTGGGGAAAGATTCTAGAGTTTTTAATCTGTGAATAGAAGGGTGGTGTATCTCCCAATCAGCTTGTTTGGGAGGGTCCCCAGGTCAAATAATCTTGGAAGACAAAAACTGCAATTTTTTCGATCTTAAATCACCATCCTCCCGTGCATCCCAACCCATTAATTTCAAGAAACCTGGGCTCTTCCCCATTACCTAAACGCTCACCTTGGGGTTGTCTGTACTAGAGGTTTTCGGGTGGCTCGAAAGGTGACAAAGGCAGTGATGGCAGAGAACAAGCTCCAGATCACTAGGAACCTCCACCAGTGCAGCTTCACTGTGAAATAGAGGGGGACAACCCACATCTGAAAGAGGGTCACCATCTGAAACACAAACACAAGCACTTCAGCTCTAGGCAGCTCCCTCTGCAGCTCTATCCACAAGTCCAGAAAGCATCTTGTGTTTTCCCTTTTAGCCTGATCCTCTCCTATGTTTCCAGTTTTGGATAAAAGTATCTCCATTCAGTGATCAAAGTCAGAAACCTGGGAGCACATTCAACAGTCTCTTGGCTGTATTCTTTCCATTTGAGCCCTCACTGCCTCTTGCCTCACTACTACATCAACCTCTTTGTTAGTTTCCCTGCAGTCATGTCACTTCTTCCAATCCATCCTTCCAAGCAGTGCTAAAGCGGTATCTCTAACACACAGTCCTGAACATGTCATTCCCCTGCTGAAAACCCTCTAATGGTACCCTGCAATAAGGTCCAAGATTCCTAGCCAGGCAGTGAAGACCTCCATAACATGGCCTGAACCTACCATTTTGAGGGCCACCTCCTACAACTCCTCGTGCCTTTGGTCAGGCTGTCCCCTTCAGGTTAAAACATCCTTCCCACCTGCCTTTCTGCCTGATAATATCACATTCAAGACACATGGAGCCTTCAATTTCCTTTCCAGGTAGAATTAGTTCTAGTGCTCCAAAAGCATTTTCTTTTCTACCATCATTTACAGAACTTATCTAGGGTATGACGCTGGATTCAAATTCATACTCTACCTGAATATAAGCTCCTTGAAGGCAGTGACTAGTCCATATTAATCTGTTTCCTCTGTACTAGGAAACTGTCTGGCACATGACAGGTCCTCAATAAATTTGGATTAAAGAAAAAAAGTAGGACTAGAACCCTAAGAGGGAGGCACAGTCCTGTTTAAAGACTGCCTATTTTACTTTCCCCTCTTTCAGATCTTTACCTCAGACCTGTTAGCTGAAGGGTTTCAAATGCATAAAACAATTCTGACTCTGAGACAGAAGTCTGGAGTAATCACTAGTCTTCTGTGAAAGCAGGGTGGTTGGGGGCAGAGAGAGTTAGGAGGCATCAGGGAGCAGAAGATTAGTGATTACTCCAAGCTTCTGTCTCAGAGTCAGAACTGTTTCATGCACATGAAATAGAACCTCAGTGCTCCATAAGCAATAACTCCCCTTATCCCCTCCCTCCTACCTCTGGTAGCCACCAATAAACTTTGGTCTCTATACATTTGCGTACTCTTGTCTTTTTATATAAGTGAGGTCACACCGTATTTGTTATTTTGTGATTGACTTATTTCACTCAGCATAATATCTTCAAGCTCCATCTATGCTGTAGCATGTATCAAGACTCCATTTCTCTATAAACTACTTAGACATTAGGCCTGAACTACTGGGCTTGAAGGCTAAGGACCACAATCTTGGGGGACATCTATGTCAATTGGCAAAACACAGTTTATAAAGATAATGTTCTACATCCTAGTCTGGTGAGTAGCGTCTGGGGTCTTAAAAGTTTGCAAGTGGCCATCTAAGAAGCGACTTTTGGTCTCTTCCCACCAGGAGCAAAGAAAAATGAAGACTCAAGGAAGCAGTTAGTCCAAATGGCCCACATGAACCACAGCCTCCTCTAACCTGAGACCAGAAGAACCAGATGGTGCCCAGCTACCACTACCGACCACTCTGACCAGGACCACAATAGACGGTCCCAGTTAGAATGGGTAGAAAATGTAAAACAAAATTCAAAAGAAAAAAAGAGACCAGACTTACTGGTCTGATAAGAGACTGGAGGAACCCCCTAGACTATTGCCCTAAGACATCCTTCAAACTTGGAACTGAAGCCACTCCCAGAGGCCACCTTTCAGCCAAATAATAGACAGGCCTATAAAATAAACAATTAACACCCCTGAAGAATGTGCTCCTTAGAACAATCAACTAAAAGAGATCAAAAGGGCAACATTTCCCCAAAATCAAAGATGAGAAAGCAGGGAGGGACAGGGCAACTGGATGAATGGAAACAGGGAAACCAGGGAGGAAATGGGTAGAGTGCTGACACATTGCGGGGATTGTCTTAGAACAATCTGTATATGAATCACTGATTGGAAAACTAATGCGCTAGGTAAACTTTCACCTAAAATAAAATGAAAGGTTAAAAAAGAAAAAAAAAAGACTTCATTTCTCTTTCTGCCGGAGTAGTAAGGTAGACTTTTATATATATATATATTTTTATTGTACTTCAGGTGAAAGTTTACAGAACAAATAGTTTCTCATTAAACAGTCAGTACACATATTGTTTTATGACATTGGTTAACAACCCCACAACATGTCAACCCTCTCCCTTCTCAACCTTTTTTTTTTTTGGTGAAAATATACATAGCCAAAGATACACCATTTCAAAAATTTGTACATGCGCAGTTCAGTGACATCTATTACGTTCTTCCAGTTGTACTGCTATTCTCACTTTAGATGAAGGTTTACAGAACAAACGAGTTCCTCATTAAACAGTACACAGGTTGCCCTATGGCAATAGTTAACAACCCCACTACATGTCAACACTGTCCTTACTCAACCCTGGGTTCCCTATCACCAGCTTTCCTGTCCCTTTCAGGTGGACATTTTTAATGGCCAGCTTAGCAATAAATGGCTGAAGGCACGATTCTCAGAACAATGGCAGGGACTCTGGTGCCATCTGGTGGCAACACTTATATAGACACATTTGGTTTAATAGTTTGTTCTAGCACTTGTGCCAGATGCTGTGGAAGGCAGAGTATTGGGAAGCCTTGGCTCTGACCTCTCTTCTAGGATGTGGGATGATGAGACATAAACACATAAATTAGATAGTCATGTAAAGCATGAAGCACCAACATGGGAGTTCAGAGGAGTAACAGTGTGGGCAGGAGCTGTCAGAGGAGATTTCCTGGAAGAGGCAGAGGTCTGGCTGGTTTAGAAGGAGGCTTAGATTTGGCCAGGTAAAGGGGGAGCGAAAGCCATTCATCCTTCTTTCCCTGAATCTGCACATATGAGGCTGAAGTGAAGAACAGTCTGAAAACGACTGATTCACTGAGCAAACATTTACTGAGGGACTATCACAGCTTTTCTGATCTGGAAGATAAGAACAGCAATACCTCCACTTAACTCTCCACAAGGCTGAACCGCTGAGATGATATTAGATTTTAACAGTAAGAGCTAGCCTATACTTAAATGGGCTTCCTTTTTTAGTTGAGCAATCACCCTCACTGGAAGGTGTACTGACAGAAATTGAATCAAGACCTAACGATTATTTCTAATCCATGTGAAGGTAGACTAGACAACTTCTAGATCCCTTTCACCTTAAAGGAGCTATAATTCAAGAGAACAATCAGAAAAGAGCTCCCAGATCACCTCCTTCCCTGCCAACAGCTGCCTTGCCAGTCTGCACTTTTGACTTTCAAGATTCTCATCTTACCACTTCTGCATCTCCCTGTATTGTGGGGCAGGGATCACCCACCACGCTTGGATGAAAAGTAGCATTTTGGATGAAATGAAAACTACAAGTCCAGGTAGCAGAACAAAGTAAGAGACTCACAACTAACAGAACAATCAGCTCGAAAAAATGCTAATAATATGTAGGCTCAGGACAACAAGACGGAGGGGTCTAGGATGTGCTCCATACTCTGGTCAATACTTTGATGAGTGATTTGGAGGAAAATATACAGGATTTGGTTACCAAATTGTATATAGCACAAAAAAGCTGGGGAGTAGGGAGGTGTATGAGGCAGTCAACATGGTACATAGAAGCAGCAAGATTCTAAATGGATAAAGTTTGTTTCTAGGGTTCTTCCACTGCTAACATTCTATAAGCCAATAAACTGAAATGAAGAACCAAAACCACATGATGAAATCTAACTAGCCAAGTATAGAATGGGGAAGGAGCGGCCTAATAGCAGCTCACATGAAACAGATCTATGGGTTTCAGTTGACCACAAATTGCCAGGAAACCTATGCCAACAGGGCTGCTGCCAAAAAAGCTAAGGCAAACTAAGAACATACTCGGGATGAAGGAGGCAGCAGCTCTCACGTTCTCTGCTCTGTGAAAGCATCCCTGGGGCCCTGAGATCAGGTCTTGGGACCACACTGTACAACGAATACAGACAAATAAGCATGGCCATAGGGAGAAGCCAGGATTACAAAGGGTCTGGAAGTCAAATCACATAAGGAAGAGCCGAAAACATCAGGCTATTAGGCCCAGAGAAGACTAGGGAAGCATGGCTGCTACCCTTAGTTAACTGAAGAACTGTCAAGAGGCCCAGTAAACAGATATATTCAGTGTAGTTTTTGTGATCTGGTAAGACCCTACACATTGTTGGAATACTCTACAGGGCAGAAACGGTTGGCAATTCCTCCCTACCACACCCCTGGCAAATGGTCCTTACCTCGTGAGGCAGGCCATCCCATTGCTAACAGATGTGCTAGACAGTTCTTCCTGACGCTGACCTAAAAAATCGACCTTTGTGTCCTTTCTGCCTCTGGGTCCTACTCTTGTCCTTCAGAAAGGAACACAGCAAATTTACTCCCTGTTTCATATGACTGCTCTCCCAATACCTAGAATTACGTCTTCTTTCCTAAGTTTTCTCCTCTTCAAGAAAAAGGGTAAGTCATTTAATGAACACTAACCACTTACTGGACACCATACTGGGGACCAGAGATTCAGAAACGAATTGATATCCAATTCCTCCAACTTTTCACTGCCACAATTAATACCACAATATGCCCCTTGAGGATTAACACTACAAATATCCCCTCGGGATCTGTCACAGGGTATGTGTATATTCCCTCCGAGTATGCGACGCTGCTCTCCAGAATGGTTGCAACAGGTGGAACTGGGGGGTCCGGGGCTTAGGTAACCTAAACACCGGTTGAGAAAAGGAAGGTGGCAGCTGCGGCACAGTGCAGTGCAGTGCGCATGCGCGGGCAGTTCTCGCTGGTGAAAGGTTGGGAAGCAAACCGGGGCGGCCAGCTGGGTCAGATAGGAGCCAGGTCAGGATGGATGGAGGACGTGCTGACCACGCTTAAGATCCTCAGCATCGGCGAGAATGGAGTGGGCAAGTCC